GACAACTGACGGTGAGGACAGTATATCTCCATTTCCACCTTCCCCTTCGCTTCTCATGTCTGTGCCCTGCATTTTGATGGAGGTGCGGAGCTCTCGCAACGAGGATCACAATTGAACAACCGGAGAGGAAAATAATCTAAATTGTTAATCACAGTACCCCTCGGTACATTTAGCTGCTTCCCCCGTCAAGCGGTGAAAGTAGCATTGAGTCTTGATCTATCTGTCTTTCGCCCCCATTCCTGAAATTCTGACCCAGTTGATGATCTCAGGTGAGACCCATCAATCTGTCACTTTTACCGGCAGACAGCCTGACACCCAATACTCCTGAAATAAAATATGCTCAAGATAACCTTTTTAATTATTAAATTCACTCCTGTTCATAGTAAGCGCAATTTTGCATGTTTTTAAAAAAAAAGCATTCTTCACACTTGCACAATTTCCATGCAGGCGTAGATTTGGCATGTGCGTGTTTTCTTGTGAATTTTTTGCACAGTGAGGGTGAGGCTCCGCCCCCCCCACCCTCCGCAGGGGTGGGGGACAAAAAGTCGATCGTCATGAAATATGGAGGAGCTGCACTCCCAGAAGTGAAGACGGTGCTTGTGTAAGTGGCTGTGTCAGCGTGCATAAAGCTGATGTCATTGTCTCCAAGGACAGCAGGTGCGAGTTCCTGCTGTGAGGATAATGCAGCATTTTCCAATCTAAATTGCTGGCTCTCGGCTCAAGGCTGCAGCCTTTGTGGCGCCGCATCACGCTGGAGCCTGACCCTGCTGTGAGCATGCAGCTACACACTTGAGACCCATTTAGGAAGAGTGGGTTTTGTTTTTAACCCCCTCCGCAGCTAACTTTCCTTCATGGCACTGTTCCAGATCCCTCATTACCGTGCACTAGTCTGTCATGTAATTATTTTTCTGTCTGACTCCCCATTATCCTCATCAGGCACCATCTTGCTTAGACTTCAGCTGCTCAACCAATTCTGAACCTTGCTGTTGACTTGCACGGAATGCTGATGAGTTAGTCTTTTGCATTGTTACGTTTACCCTCGTGCTTTGAGAGCTGGCTTGTTGGTCGCGCTGCCACCTCTTGACCCAGGAGGTGCTAGGTCTGAGCTCCGTTGCTGGACTTGAGAAAGCCTCTGGTCTGGATGACAGTCATACTGCAGGTCATGGCCCCCAGTGGGATCACAGGATGAGATTTTGGTGTTGCACGCTCCGAGGCAGCAGGCTGGCTGTGAAAATTTTGACAGCTTTGACACCCCTTTGAATGTTTTGCTTTTCTTCTCCCTCATCAGTGTCATAGAGCTGTGCAGCACGGAAACAGACCCTGCGGTCCCACTCATCCACGCTGACCAGATATTCTGAATTAATCTGGTCCCATTTACCAGCACTCGCCCTGTATCCCTCTAAACCCTTCTGACTCATTATATACCCATCCAGATGCCTTTTAAATGTTGTAACTGTACCAGCCTCCACCACATCCTCTAGCAGCTCATTCCACCACCCTGTGTGAAACAGTTACCCCTTAAAGCCCTTTTAAATCTTTTCCCCCCTCATCTTAAACCTATGCCCTCTAGTTTTGGACTCCCCTACCTGAGGAAAAAGATCTTGGCTAATAATCCTATCCATGCCCCTCATGATTTTATAAACCTCTATAAGGTCACCCCTCAGCCTCCGACATTCCAGGGAAAATAGCCCCCACCTATTCAGCGTCTCCCTGTAGCTCAGACCCTCCAACCCTGGTAACATCTCTTTCTGGGCAAGCTATAATTGTCTGTTCTGAGGCTCTGCCGTTGCAACTGCAGCCTGTAAAGTGATGGGCCTTTACTTTTCTCAAGGCAAAGTCAGCAGTTTTAAACCCTGTCTTGACTTTTGCTGCAGGGGTCTCACCTCCACCTGAGGCATTAAAATGGAGCCACGTCTGGTTGTAGGGCAGATGGCACTGTAGCTGTAGCTGTCAATTGCTACCACCCTGCACTGTAGGATTACTGCATTGCACTGTCTTACAGGTACTACATTATACTGAGTCCTCCTGTCTCCTCGGTTAGAATTGAAGACTCGCTGGATTACTCCAGCAAGAGCGTGAAAGTTGTCCAGATGTCCTAGAGAGCACTTAGTCGTCCACCATTGCCAACAATAGATTGTCTGGTTTAAAAAAAACAAAATATTCCTGCTGCTGAAAATCGGAAATAAACATGGAGAATGCTGGAGAGAATCAGCTGGTCTGACAGCATGTGTGGAGAGAGAAACAGTTAACTTCCAAAGTTTTTTTTCAGCCAGGTACAGAAGTAATGGCAGGAGAGTATCTGGTCATTCATCAAAGCTGCATTTGTCTACGGAACAGTGACAACGTTTCAGAAGTAACTGATGTTCTGAGGTAAATGGTGCTACATCATTGAAGGTGCTTGCCGACTAATTGTGCAGATTCTATTCTGCCAGTTATGTCTGCTCATCTTCCTGAATGCACTAACTCTTGCAGGGCTTTCGCAGCCTTTCTTGTGTGAGCCCAATGGATTCCACACGAATATTGGATAGAGGACGACATTGTATCTGCACTGGAGCTTTTGGTAAATCTGCAGCCATGCAATGTGCCTTCCAGCAAGGGTCAGTGGACAGCTAACCAAGAAGATCCTGTAGAAACATAGAAAATAGGAACATAAGCAGACCATTTGGCCCTTTGACCCCTCTCTACCATTCAGTGTGATCGTGGCTAATCATCTTCCATACCCTGTTCCAGTTTTCTCCCCATGCCCGTTGATCGCTTTAGCCCCTAAGAACTATATCTGGTTCCTTCTTGAAAACTCTGTGTTTTGGCCTCAACTACTTTCTGTGGCAGAGAATTCCACAATTTCACCACTGAGTGAAGATATTTCTCCTTCCCTTAGTCCTGAACGGTCTTTAAACTGTGACCCCCAGTTCTGGACTCCTCAGTCACCAGGAGCAACCTTCCTGTGTTTATCTTGTCTAGTCCTGTTACAGTTTTATTGGTTTATATTTTAATCAGCCTATAGTTTTTCTGTTGGGTTACCCCAGTATCTACAAATTTTGGCCCTGGAATTGGCTATCTTAGCCCAGACCAGGAATTCACCCGGAAACTATCAATGCTTTGCTGCTGCACTAGGGGTCACCATTATCTAGTGTATCATCAAGGGGGCACTCCTGTAATTCCTAACCTTATTTATTTGGTCTAGCATTGCAGTAAGTAGCATAACATAGCCGGGTGACCAATTTATGCCTCCACACATCTTCTGTGGCTTTAACCTCTGTGGTGATATTTCTTGGACAAATCCTGGCAAACTTTGCAACCCAAGAACAAGTTGGGACTCTTACTTACTGGCATTTAGAAGAATGAAAGGTGATCTTGTTGAAATATATTGGATTCTTGGTCTGGATAGGGTAAATGCTGAGGGGATGTTTCCCCTCCAGGTAGAGTCTGGGGCTGGAGGGCACAGCCCTTTGAATCGAAGGGGTGCCAATTTAAGACTGACATGAGAAATTTCTGAGGGTTGAGAGCCTTTGGAACACCTGGCCACAGCTGTGGGGCAGTGTCCTTGTTTATACTTCAGGCTGAGGTAGATCCTTGATCAGTAAGGGAATCGAGGGGTATAGGAGGAGTGTCTGATCAACTATGATCCAATTGAAAGGCAGACCAGAGGGGCTGAAAGGCCTGCTCCTATTGCTATTTCATCTTATAGAAGCTTTGTTCTGTTTGATGTGTCCCTTCTTGCTTTTAGAGCTCCTGGAAGTTAGTCTTGGGGTTGCTTTAGGAACTGTGTCTTCCATTGTCCCTTAATCCTTTAATGGATCTTCATGGTTTCTCCTGCTTGGTAAAGCCAATATTTTGTTCTTGTACTTGACAAATGAGCTGTTGAGAAGCATCATGTTTTTCATGAAACCTGCCTCTAATTATTTCTATGCTGAGACAATCCAGGTACATGAGGGACATATACTTAGTGTGGACTGAGGAGGAGAAGAGGCAAAGCCGATTTTGTTTGGAATTATGTTTGGAGCTGAGAAACAAGCTCATTAATAAGCACAAGTAAAATTATATTTGTATTGTACCTTTACTGTTCTCCTGATATTTAGCCGTACAGCTATCAAATTGCCTTTTGTTTTGAATTGTTGTCATTGGTAGACTTAACATGACAAGTAATTTGTACACAAATTGCAATGAGAGAATTTACTTTTAAAGGTATTGGCTGATGAATTTTAGCCTGAGAAATAGGAAATTTCCTTCCAACAGTGCAACTGAGATACAACCATATACCTGAGCAAATAAGCAGCGTTCCATTTAACACGTATAGACAGGATAATGCATGCGCGACTCCCCGCCAGGAGCAGCACAGTAAATTGGTTTAAGTGATGGAAATTGAGCAGAATACCTTGAGGAAGGAGGAGGATGAGTACTGGAGAGGTGCCAGCATGTATGTAGCCACGCACATTAATGCTAGATATTCACAGTTCCATCATGAGATTCATTGTCCTCATGCGTGCAGCTGTGCGGCATGTGGCTGGGAGCTGATTTGGAAGTAAACAATTTCTGAAGTGGCTGCTTCGTTGGGTGGAGAGGGAAAGGTTTACCTATTTGCAGGTTACTGCTTGACACTTGACTTGCGCTGACACTTCTGCAAAATTCCGCCCGCCCCCAGCCTATTTGTAAGGAGATGATCGAAGGATGAGTCACGGCCTTTAAGTTTCTCTTTGAATAGGTGGACTTTTAATCAAACAATGATACAGCTATGTTTTGTGTCACTGCATTGTAGCAGATTATGTAATAGAGCTTGAATGATTGTACAGAGCACTTTGAGGTGTTCTGATCTATAAAATGTTATGTAAACACCGGTATTGTCACCTTTACTTGGAGAAATAGAGGGGTATTGACCAGTGTATTCCAAATACATGTACAGCTGCTGTCACAACCAAAGTTGTCATGCTTTTGTTTTGGAATCTGCATAATACTACATCAGGTTTACCCATCTGTTTACCTGCATCTTGTTCTGTTTCTAGCTGCCGATAAAGCACGAAATGAGTTCACCGAAGCAGAGAAATCGCTGAGGGAGGTGGAGAGTTCGATTGGGTATCGTATCTATTTTAAAAAATAAAATCAGTTTGTTATCTAAGGCAAAGGTGTCTGGCATTGGGTGGGGTTGGGGGGGAATGAGAAATACTTGAAACCCTTGCTGAGGTGAAAAAAATCTCTGAGAAGCCACATTAACATCTGTGGGCCCAGGGTTGGAAATAGTTCAGAAGCTGGAGTTGTTTAGTTTCTTGCCAGCCTTCCTATCATAGCTAAGGAATCACATATGAGCTCTGAAGGTGATATCCTGCCAAACCGCTGTTTTCTTCAAGGCTAATTGGTGTTTGGAGGGGGTGAGAGAAGGAAAAGAGACTGTTCAGTGATTAAAGTTCAGGCAAAGCGTATAGGGTCTATGCCACTGTCTCTCTGAGGATGTTTGGTGTAGTTAATGCAGGCAAAAACTCTCAACCGTGATCTGTCATCAAAAATTTGAATGCGAGACATACTTGACGTTAACTAAAGAGGTAATTGCTGCAAATTTTGATGTGGCATTGAAATGTTAATTTAGGAATTGCTGCGTTTATCCCCCAGGGGATAGTATAACCCTTCAAAGCCACGTTCAAATGTAGTCCGTGAAAGAACCAGCCAGATATAAGAAGTGTTTTTCTGATTTCTGTCTGCTTTGTTTCCAATGGCTGTACCTTGGTTCATTGTTTGTATTTGGGTTGGCTTGTTTTAAATCCTCATGATAGAGAGAACCTATCCTTTCCATTATCAAATGTAGCAAGTTGCAACATGTGTATTCTAGCCTATTGCATCAGCTTCCCCTTGTTTCACCTTGGAACATTTTATTGTCAATTGAACTGAATGCATCCTTTTTTTAAATTAACATGTCAATTCACTAATTGTAAACTGAATCAGAAATTTCTACACTGCTTTGTTTCAAAAAAGAATTGAACGAAGGAGTATGATTTGCTTTGTTGAATTCCTGCTTTGCTCTGCTGTGGTTAATAAAAATGTTGTTAATTATCAGCATTAAGCTGAAAATGTTACACTTCATTTGTGTTGAGGCTGACTGATTCAGAGCTGAAGGAGACTTACTGCTATGGCCATTGGGCATGCTTGAGTATTAGTCTGCCTTGATTACTAATGTTGAGCTGTCAACACAGCATCAGACAGCTTTTGCTTTGCTAATAAAACTCCTCCATCCTCTATTCTATGTACATATCGACATGATGAGATTCTGTAACACACAGTTATCTGCACACTTCAACGAAGAATGTCACAAGTGTTAGAGCTTCATACAGTGTCAGCAGAGGAAAGTCTACCTTGTCCTAATCTTCTGTCAGCAAAGCCATGGATGCTGCACTAGTTAACAGGACAAAACAAAAAGCAGTGAACTAAGCCCATTAACGTTTGCAACTGTATATTGTTAACAATCTGGTTTAAGCACCGTACATGCAAGTTCAGGCAACACTTCATCCGTTGTCTGGACTCTTTACAGCTTCTGGACTCAGGATTCAAATTTAATAATATTAATTTGCAACCTGTGCCAATGTTTTGTTTTGTTTTCCATTGCTGGTTTGGTATTTTCACTCTTTTCTCTATTATTTCCTTGACTTTGCTTTCTGGTGGCAGCAATTCAGGGGCCTTCTCTGAAAGCATCCTTTGTTTCCTCACTTGTCCCATTATCTCTCCGTTTGACCTTGCACCATGAAATATTTTGCAATTTAACTTCTCCTGTCATCCAGCTTTTCACAGACCTGCTCACCATCATCCCTTTTACTTTCTCAGAATCTATTACCTTTTTAACGATTCCCAGTTCTGATCTGACATGAGACATTCATTCTATCTTTCTCTCTTTCTGTTCTTAGACCTGCTGAGCATATCCATCATTTTGTGTTTTTATTTGAAATTCGTTCTCATTGCTGAGGGGATTCTCCCTATCCTTGTATTTTAAATGAACAATATTCTTCCCCACAGTGATTGTATTCTATGCTAATTGGCCCTCGTCCCTTGATTGTATTTCTCAGTTATGAAACATTCCAACCTCTCCAAACTTCCATGTGCAAATAACTTGATGTGTCTGTTCATGGCCTGATTATTTTATCTGAATAGCTATTGGATTGCAACCCTTGTACTCTAGCTTACCACTGTTGCTGATTCTGTAGATGTGTTGCAGAAGGTTGTATGTTGGTAAAGGAGGTGATTGTTTCTGGACGGTAAACTCCAGGATTGTTTGTGACATTTCGGTATGTTAACAATGAGATGGCAAGAGGTTGCTTGAGAAGATTTCTCTGGAGTGGGGAAACTTGCCTATTATTTTGTAACTTGCTATTTTTTTCGAAACCAAATCGTTTTTGGCATCAAAGCGTGGAGCTGGATGAACACAGCAGGCCTGGCAGCATCAGAGGAGCGGGATAGCTGACGTTTCGGGTCGGGACCCTTCTTCTGGAGGGTCTTTTCTGAAGAAGGGTCCAGATCCAAAACATCAGCTTTCCTGCTCCTCTGATGCTGCCTGGCCTGCTGTGTTCCTCCAGCTCCACACTGTTATCTCTGACTCCAGCATCTGCAGTTCTTGCTATCTTGTTTTTGGCATCATTGCTTTGGATGGAAACTTGTTGGTTTGGGAGTGTTATAACTGAGTGATGTTGGGAACTAGATTAATATAGACAGCGCAGCAGGTACTGTACATAAATCATTGCATATTGCACAACCTGTCATACTTTAGTTTAGGCAACATTTAGAAATACTTACCTATGATGACAAAGCAAACTAATTGGGACAATTTTAAAGAGGTGCAGGAACCAGAATCTTTGAACATCACAGAACAAGTTGATGAGACTGATTTTAAAAACACTTCCAGGTTTTAAGAAGCATAGATAGGGAGGAAGTGTGTTTCCATTTGTGCAAGGATTGCGGGTTAGAAGACATGTGGCAAGTAATTGGCAAAAGGAGGAATAGTTATGAGAAGAAACATTCTCATGCATTCGCGTAGTGAGTGGTTAGCGTTATGGTGTGGAATGCTGTGCCTAAGAGTATGTGGAAGCAGGTTCAGTTGAGACGCTCAAAAGGGAATTAGCTGAAAAAAGGAAGAATGTGCAGGCTTATGGGGGTGGCGGGGTGGAGAGGGGTCAGGAGAATGACACTCGGGGGAAATTGTAGAGCGAACCCAACCCCTGTATAAAAGATCTTATCGAGTTTTCTTCCTAATATAGTGATAGGACTGTGATGATAGATCAGCATAATCAGTCACGGCATTAATATAAATGTATTGATTCAGTCATAACAATGGTCAGTGCCTTTCTTTTGTACTATAATGCAGGACAAAAGAGACTTGTACTACATTTCTTCAATTGATTACTTTGGAATCAATTAATTACAAACAAAGTGCTGGTTAACATCTAAGCTGCAATCCAGAAATGGAACTATACCCCTTAATCCCTAACGCAGACACATGTAGACAGCACAAAAAAAGCAACAGTCTCTGCAGAGATAATGTTTGTTTCTTTTAAAACAAAATGGGGAAATGGGTACAAGGATCTGTTTGGGCCAAGAGTTTGAAAAATAAGCATAGAATGTAATGACTTCTTATGGTCGTTGGGTTTCCTGTAGATGAAATTGAATTGCTAACAGCTATAGACTAATGGAAAAAGACAGTTCTAATTGCAGTCACCTTGTATCTGAGGCTTTGGAAAGTGACCTCGGGTTTTACAAAATCAGAAATGCTGGTGTTTAGAAACGAACAGGCTCCCAGTAACTTCTACTGAGAAAGGTAGAGAGACTTGCAGCTTCTTTGGTGTCTTCTTTATTGCCTATCTTGATTTCTAAAACAGAAAACAAAGAACAGAAAGGATTGCTAGGCTAATGTTAGCATAGCCTAATGCTTGTTTAAAACTAGGTTTTCAGTAATTAAGGGCCATGAGCCACATCTTTAATTTCCTTGAAAGCTTTGCTTCCTTTTGCACACTGTCCCTTGATTTTATTTTTGTAAACTGTGGTTAGCTTACAGCACTCAATAAATTGACCCTGTTCCTCGATTTTAAGCTATGCTGTAACCCTTTTCAGTACCACACCGTTCTATAACTTTCATTCTTTCACGTAGTCATTGATGATAACTGTATATTCCCACTAATAGGTACTAAAGACCTTGTGTGTTTAAAAAAAAATGTCAGAACTGTAGATGTGTTACTGTATTAAAAGGCCATTCGGCCCATTGTATCTGCACTAGCTGTTGATTTCACATAGAGCTAATCTCCTGTCTTCTGCACGTAACTCCACACATTGTTCCTTTTCAAAGTACCTTCTCGATGCCTTGATTGAACCTTCCTTCACCACACTCTCAGGCAGGGCAATCCAGACCGAAACCTCATGCTGCCTGAATGACATTTCTCTCACATTGCTTTTGCTTCTTTTGCCAATCACTTCTACTAATTCCCTCTTGTCCTCAACCAGGCCAGAGTCCAGATCTAAGTTTCTGTTGTTTATCTTCAGATGTTTTGTTTGCACATCTTACTTTGCAAGGAAACTTGGGAGAATCGCCACTCTTTAGTTTTTGTATCATGGGACTGTCAGTTGCATTACTGCATGAAGATATTTCTAGTTGTCTTTGGGGCCCACATATTTCAAATAAGGATGCTTAGTTTCTGTGTTTCATCTATCAAATTATTGAGAGTACTGTTAAGTCTACATTTCAGTTTCCCCATGCAAAATCTCACGTAGAATATTGCTTAGTATTGAATGGAAAGTATTTAACAGTAGGGAAATGGAAATCTATATACCTCTCCAAGGCTCTTTTGACAGCACCTTCCAAACCCATGATCACTGCTATCTAGGACAAGGGCAGCAGATGTAGAGGAACACCAGCACTTACAAGTTCCCCTTCAAACCACACATTGTCCAGACTTCAAAATATATCGCTGTTCCTTCAGTGTCAGAATAGTGGGGAATTTAGCAATGGTAATGTCACTGAATGTCAAAGGACGACAGTTAGAGTCTGTCTTATTGGAGACGGTTATTGCTGGACCCTTGTGTGATGGCAACGAGCGGTATGCAGATAAGAAATAAGAGGATGCCAAGGATAGAGCCTTAGAGGACATCAGAGCTATCAGTGCTGGATTGGAAAGAGGAACCATTGCAAGTGACAAGAATAGAACAGGTTGCGACTGTTTTACTTACTGTCTTTACTTGCGCTGAGCAGCTGAGGCGAATTGTGGTTTCATCGTGGCTGGGGAAGAGGTGCTAGCATAATGGTAATGTTGTTAGACTAATAACCCAGAGGTTCAGGCTGTGCTGATAATAGATGGTGAAATTTAAATTCACTAAAAATCTAGAATTAAAAGCCAGCCTAATGGTGACCACTAAACCTACCTGGTTCACTAATACCCTTTAGGAAATGCAGTGGTACTGTGCCTTTAAGAGCAATGTGCTCTGTGCTGTTTCTTGCAGAGAGGTGTTGCCACAGTGGTGCCGGAATGTCTGCTTCAGAAGCAGTGGGTAAACAGCTTTGAGCTATCTGAGTGTTTTGTTAAATTAGACAAGTTGATGGAGTAGGCTCACACAGACCCAGGGTTTTAGTTTGTTTCAGTTGGGGTTTTTTGGAGCTGGCTGTTGAAGCTGATAGATAAAGCTCTCGCTCTCTCTCTGCTGCAGCAAAAAGCTTGAGTTCTTTCACTGCTGCTAGATTGTTGCTATCAGTGTTCCTTTCTCTTGGACTGGAAGGGAGATTGCACATGAGGAACATCTGCTTTGCTGAATTTCCTGCTCCCAAGGGGGTGTTTATGGAATGCTGCTATATAGGAACAACTGATGATTAGTAGTTTAATAATATATTATTTTGTAAAGTTTTTCAACAGAGGTAAAGTTATGTCAATTACTTTTTGTTTGTATTTTAACTGTGCTATTAGAATAAAGTGTGGTTTGCTTAAAGCCTTGCAGTGGACCAATCGAATCACATCTGGGACACAGCATCTTACACTTGCCTTTAAATATAATAAAATGTTAGGGTCTAGGCTATCTCCTTGATATATTTTGAGGGGTTTTGGTCTGGTCCACATCAGAAAAGAATTCTGCCATCCTTGCCTGGTCTGGCCTACATGAGACTCTGGATCTTTAGTAATGTGTTTGACTCTCAACTGCCTTCTGGGCAATAAATTCTATCTTAGCCAGCAATGTTACATTGCTACACTGCCACATCCCACGAACAAGTAAGTAAAAAGGCTGGACTCTGAACATAGCATAGATGGAAAATGAAAATTTACCCAATCTTACATTACTACTGTTGGGAGCATCCTGTACTAGAATACGTTTGTATAGCCTAAATGAGAATTAGGAAAGCTAATGTTCGCATTTACCTGGATTATTCTTGCCACCCTTCTTAAATAAAGGAACAACATTGGCCATTCTCCAATCCTCTGGGACCTCCCCTGTAGCCAGTGAGGATACAAAGATTTCCCTCAAGGCTCCAGCAATTTCCTCCCTTGCTAGAATTAAGAAAGGTGTGGTTTGTTGTGAGCGGAATTTAATGCAAAGGTAGGGAGGTTATGTTTCAGTTATACAGAGCAGTGGTGAGACTGCATCTGGAGTATTGTTTACAGTACTTGTCGCTTTATTTAAGAAAGGGTATAAATGTGTTTGAAACTGTTAGTCTAAAATGGCAGGGTACTTATGAAGATGGAGCTTAAAAGAATAAAAGGTGACAGGAATGAAACACAAGATCTTGAGCTGCCACAACAGGGTAGATGAGGAAAGGATGTTTCCTCCTATGGGGAGAACTAGGGGTCACTGCTTAAAAATGAGGGGAATGAGCCTGGCCAGGTGGTCGTTGTCTCAGTAGGGGAGCATTTCGGGAACAGTGATCACAATTCAGTAAGCTTTAAGGTACTGATGGATAAAGATAAGTGTGGTTGTCAGGTGAAGGTGCTAAATTGGGGGGAAGGCTAATTACAACAATATTAGGCAGGAACTGAAGAATGTAGATTGGAGGCAGACATTTGAGGGCAAATCAGCATTTGGTATGTGGGAGACTTTCAAATGTAAGTTGCTGGGAACTCGGGACTGGCACATTCCTGTGAGGATGATGGATAAATATGGCAAGTTTAGGGAACCTTGGATTACGAGAGATATTGTGAGCCTAATCAAAAAGAAAAAGGAAGCACATATCAAGGCTAGGAGGGTGGGAACACACGAAGCAAGGGTGGAATACAAGGCAAGTCGAAAGAAACTTAAGCTAGGAATCAGGAGGGTAAAAGGAATCATGAAAAGTCATTGGCCAACAGGATTAAGGAAAATCCGAAGAGTATTTATACATAGTGAGAGGGTTGGCCCACTCAGGGACAGGGAAGGAAATTTGTGTGGAGTCAGAGGAAATGGGCAAGGCATTAAATGAGTACTTTGCGTCAGTATTCACCAAAGAGAGGACTTGGTGGATGATGAGTCTGGGGAAGGGTGTGAAGATAGTTTGGGTTATGTTGAGATCACAACGGGGGAGGTATTGGGGGTCTTGGAAAAACATTAAGGTAGACAAGTGCACAGGGCCCGATGGGATATACCTCAGAATAATGAGAGAGGCAAGGGAGGAAATTGCTGGAGCCTTGAGGGAAATCTTTGTTTCCTCCCTGGCTACAGGGGAGGTCCCAGAGGATTGGAGAATAGCCAATGTTGTTCCTTTGTTTAAGAAGCACCATGGTTTTGTGAAGGGGAGGTAGTGTCTCACTGATTTACTTGAGTTTTTGAGGAAGTGACGAGGATGATCAATGAGGGTAGGGCAGTGAATGTTATCTACATGGACTTCAGTAAGGCCTTTGACAAGGTCCCTCATGGCAGGCTGATACAGAAGGTAAAGTCGCACGGGGTCAGAGGTGAGCTTGCATGATGGATAAAAAAACTGGCTCAGTCATAGAAGACAGATGGTAACAGTGGAAGAGTGCATTTCTGAATGGAGGACTGTGACTAGTAGTGTTCCTCAGGGATCAGTGTTGGGACTTTGCTATTTGTAATGTATATAAATGATTTGGAGGAAAATGTAACTGATCTGATTATGTTTGCTGATGACACAAAGGTTGGTGGAATTGTGGATAGCGATGAGGACTGTCAAAGGATACAGCTGGATATAGATCGGTTAGTGACTTGGGCAGAGAGGTGACAAATGGAGTTTAATCTGGAAAATAAGAGCGAATGCATTTTGGACGATCTAATCCAGATGGAAAATATACAGTAAATGGCAGAACTCATAAGAGTACTGATAGGCAGAGGGATCTGGGTGTACAGGTACACAGGTCGCTGAAAATGGCAATGCAGGTGGAAAAGATAGTCAACAAGGCATGTGGCATGCTTGCCTTCATCGACTGGGGCATTGAATTTAAAAACTGGCAGGTAATGTTGCAGCTTTATAGAACCTTAGTTAGGCCGTATTTGGAATATTGTGTTCAATTCTGGCCGCCACGCTACCAGAGGATGTGGTGGCTTTGGAGAAGGTACAGAAAAGATTTACCAGGATGTTGCCTGGTATGGAGGGCATTGGCTATGAGGAAAGGTTGGAGAAACTTGGGCTGTTCTCACTGGAACGGCAGAGGTTGAGGGGCGACTTGATAGAGGTCTACAAGATTATGAAGGGCATGGTCAGAGTGGACAGCCAGAAGCTATTTCCCACGGTAGAAGAGTCAGTTATTACAGGCCATAGGTTTAAGGAGTGAGGGCCAAGGTTTAAAAGTGATGTATGAGGCAAGTTTTTTTTTACAGAGGGTAGTGGGTGCCTGGAACTCACTGCCGGGGGAGGTAGTGGAAGCAGATACGACTTTTAAAGGGAGTCTTGACAAATACAGGAATAGTATGGGAATAGAGGGATACGGTCCCCGGAAGGATAGGGGGTTTTAGTTGTGATGGGCAGCATGTCGGTACAGGCTTGGAGGGCCAAAGGGCCTGTTCCTGTGCTGTAATTTTCTTTGTTCTTGTTCTTAAGGCACGCCCATTTAATATGGATGAGGAGTCACAAGACTTTGGAAATTGTTGGAAGTGGGGTGGGTGGATATTTTTAAGGCACCAGTAGATTCCCAATAAACAAGTTGGGTGTAAGCTTATCAACAATAGGCAGGAGTGTGGAGTAATCAGATCAGCCGTGTGGCTGCCTCCTCCTAATTTGTATTATGCTTAAAAATATCCTGTATTGTATGCAAATAGATATTTTCCCCCAAATACTAAAGTGGCTAAGAAGTTGACTGTAGCAGCAAGGATTGTATTCTGTGCAGTGTCATAGTTGCCCTGACAGTGGAACTAACCAGATTTTTAAAGGGACTTGACTTAAGGTGTCAAAGCCACCTCTGTTAACTGCTGTGACTTATTCCTTCATGGCAGTAGTATAGTATGGCGGTATGAGTGATGTTATATAGCATAATGATCAGGTTGTCATTTTTATCTGATAGTTTAACTTTGTTTAATCTGGTATTTGTATTTTAACTTTATTTTCTTGACCTTGTTTATTTGATTTGGCACCTGTATGCAGCAGGATTGGGGATTTGAATCCAATGATTCTGATGGTTTTAGCACACTGTGATAATTCCTGTGATGAAGCAATCAACTTATTTTAAAAATGCTCAGAAAATACAACAGCTGATTCAGTTTCACTGCTCCTGTTTTGCAGGAGTCTCGAGAGGGAGCTTACCATTGACTTTGGACCTGATGGAGAATTTGCATATATGTTTAACCAGTGTTATGAAATGACGACAAATGAGTGAGTAGTCTCTCGTATTTTCCCACCCTTTTTATGGTGCACTGTTTGTGTTCTCAGTAAAGTTGATATAGATTTTTTTTTCCCATCTTGAAGAGGTTACATCCTAAAGAAAACAAAGATATTATTTTGGTGGCCTGGCATAGGAAGCAAATTAAAATAGCTGTTTGAAATGTAAGATCTATATAATTTTTTTTGTTATTGAGCATGCTTGCTGCCAGCAACATCAACTTGCATTTAAGTAGCACCTTTAACATTGTAAATCATCCCAACTTATCAATGATCTTTAGGACATAATAATGTGGATAGAAGTAGACCATTTGGCTCCTTGAGTCTCCTCTGCCATTCAAACTCCTGGCAGATCTAATGTAACCTTAACTTTCCTGTTTGCCTACCCATAACCCTTGATTCTGTTATGACCATTGGTCAGAATCAAATGTACTGTGGGTGTTTTTAACTCTTTTTAAAAAAAAAAAAAGTTGTTGTAGCATTACTGGAGTTTCCTTTTCTTTTATTTGACCTATTTTTCAAATCAACCTGTTCAGAGATGTTATTGCACACCTCTGGAGCAGGTGGTACTTGAACCTGACCCTCCTGGTTGGGGGGTAGGGACACTACTACTGTGCCACAAGAGGGTCCCCATTACAAGAGGATTGATGCAACTGAAAATGCCAATTAGCTGGCTGTTTTTATAGACAGACCAATGGAATATCACACCTTTTGCATCTGAAGGTCACTTCAAACAACATCTCCACAGACAACATGCTCAAACTACTGGACCTATGCCTCACCACCCACTTCACTTTCAACGGCCAAACATAGGAACAAATCAACAGGACACCCATGGGATCACCTATCTTCAGACTCATAGCAGAGGCAATGATGCAAAGACTCGAAAGGACGGCCCTTCTGCTAATCCAACCAAAACTATGAATACGCTACGTGGACGACACCTTTGTCATCAGTAAACGGACCAAACTAGAGGAGTCACACAAGCATATAAACAACACCCTCACCGGAATAAAATTCACCAGAGAGGAGGAGAAGAACAAACAGCTCCCATTCCTGGATGTCATGGTGGAGCACAAGACAAATGGGAACTCCAAACAAACGTACACAGAAAAGCCACACACACGGATCAGGTACCGAACTTCAACCACAACTGTCCCAACATGCGCTCGCACACACACACACTCACATGCACACACACCAGTGAAACGGGCAACGGCACACTGCAGCAATGCAGACCTACGCCAAGAGGGCCGGGTCAGACGATGCCTACGCAAACAACATCAGGACAATACAACACGCCCCGACACGCTCGTCACACTACCCTACATCAGGAACACATCGGAACTAACCACTACACCCCTACGACCGCTGGGCATCAGAGTGGCACACAAGCCTACATCAACCCTACGACAACTGCTCGCCTGAACCAAAGACCCACTCCCCGCCATGGACAGGACCAATGTCATCTATAAGATCCCCTGCAGAGACTGAGAAACACTACATCGGACAAACAGGAGGAAACTAACAACGAGAGTACACGAACACCAACTGGCAACAAAAAGACACGACCAATACTCGCTCATCTCAATCCACATGGATAAGGTGAACCACCAATTCGACTGGGACAACACCAAAATCCTGGGACAAACTAAGCAGAGACAGGCACGGGAAGTCCTAGAAGCCTGGCACTCCACGAAGAAAGCCACCCATAAACACGTAGAACTCGACCCCATATACACTCCACTACGAAGGAAAACCGGAAATGAGGCAATCCAGCTCAATGAACACCAGAGTTTAAAACCAGGTGGGAAAACACACCAATGCTTCATCGGAGGCTGCACTGAGGATGTTACCCAGCAGGATAATGAAACGTCTGCAGAACAACAAACCAGCTCGGCGAGCCAACCAACCACAACACCCACAACCCGAGCTACAAATCTACTCCAAAACCTTAGAACTGTCCTTTAAAATGGAGGAAGAAGCAGGTCAAAGTAGACTGGGCTGTGATCCTTTCTGACTACTAAGATAATGAAAAGCTAATGATTCCTCTGTGCAACAGATATTTGCCCCCTTCAGATGATGTCCCAAACTGTGGATTGTGTTTTTCCCTTTTTGAAGAATACCCAATTATAACTGTTTTTAAAACACTCAGTTTCAATTCTACTGGAGTCTGCTAGTGGGGCTGAATGTTTCTGTGTGCACCAGCCTGGATTCCAGTGGACTTGCCTGTTCTAACGTGTGCACATGTATGTTGCATTACTAATTCTTTTTGCAGGTGGTAATAAATTAACAAATAGAATGAATTTATTAAAGGAAGCCCAGTTAAATTAGCTCCTTTTAAGACCCTAAAAGTTCAGTTGGTTCTTGAGGAAGGGTATCCACAAGGGAAGGAATCCTTTTTAAATCAACCTTGTTGTGGTGAACCAAGGTGCCAGTTTATCTGCCCATGTCTACTCGCCCTGAGATTAACAGTTTGGAATGTCCTGTCTCGAACCCGAATGAATTAGAGGATCTCGTTTGGGTACTGGTTGTAACAATTTCTTTATCAGTCAAGCCCATCTAACTCGATCTTGCATCTATTACAAGCTGTTGCGCTCGGGGTTGGCGGGGTGTGGGGGAGAGAATTCCAAAGGTTAATGACCTACGGAGAGGAAATTGCTCCTCATCTCCATTTTGAATGGGAGGCTGAGCACAGAACTTGTTGCCCATCCCTAAATGCCCTTGAACTGATTGGCTCTCTAACCCATTTCAGAGGGTAGTTAAGACTGCGTAGGGACGGCAGATTTCCTTCCCTAAAGGGCATTAGTGAACCAGGTGGATGCTTTATGTTGTTGATTACAGGGCCACCATTAGAATTGTTTAGTATTAATTCCCAATTTTAATGAAAACATTTCTCAGTCTTCTCAGGTGATATTCAAACTCCAGTCCCAAGACCTGGGCCTTTTGTAATGACATTACCACCATCACACACTCCCTTCAGCAGCGTTTAGGTTCTGGGTTCTTCTGTAACTTTGTAATCTAAAGACCCATCTAGATACTCAGCTTCTGAACCTGGCTCAGTCCTTGGGTGACTTGACACGGTGGGTGAGTCACTGATCGTAGATGTGCAATTCTTCATCTGTTGGCTGCACTCCATGGTGTGATAAAGGTCCTGATGATCAGGAAGCTATGACTTACAAGAAAAACTCTCTTTTGGTTACAAGGCTGCTGGTTTCCGTAAAGCAAGCACAGGCAGCTGCTCATATGGCTCTTATTTTTTTCCCCCACTCCATATTGTGCTGCATGCAAAGTGTAAGAGGAATGGGAATGCACTGGAGCTGATCTGCTCCAGAAGGGGAGGTGATAACCCAGTGGTATTATCGCTGGACTGTTAATCCAGAGACCCAGATAACATTCTGGGGACCTGGGTTCGAATCCTGCCACAGCAGATGGTGGAATCTGATTCTGTAATGACCACTGGTCAGAATCAAGGGTTATGGAAAGGCAAACGGAAAAGTTAAGGTTCAATTGAATTCAATAAAATATCTGGAATTAAGAATCTAACAATGACCATGAATCCATTGTCGATTGTTGGGGAAAAACCCATCTGGTTCACTAATATCCCTTAGGGAAGGAAACTGCCATCCTTACCTGGTCTGGCCTATATGTGACTCCAGACCCACAGCAATGTGGTTGACTCTCAACTGCCCTCTGAGCAATTTGGAATGGGCAATAAATGCTGCCTAGCCAGCGACACCCTCATCTGTTAATGAATAAAGGAAAGAAAAAGCAGCATCCCAAACAAAATCTAAAAGCCACCCACTGTGTTTGAATGTATATGTTAACACCAAACGACATTAGGAGTAACCAACTTGTTTTGGAAAGTCTTTCTTAAAATAAAAATACTTGCTGAAAATATGTCCTCAGTGCTTTTGCAGCAGGTGTTTGGGGATGAATAGTTGTGTGTTGCCTTGCAGCAGACTCCACTTCAATGATGTTTCTTCAGATGTCCATTTACATCAGATCTAGCCAGAGCTTCATGCTGAAAATTCTTAGGTGTAACAACATGTCGAACAGCACTGTTAAACACTTTCTTTCCCAGTTCTCTTGCTGCTTTCCCCCCATAACACATGTGTACGTGCACATACACATGCACACACCTCCTCATGTACAGACCCCTAAACAGTCAGTCTTTCACCCCCACACTTGTTCTGGCTCTGTCTCCTCTCCCTCACGAGCACACTATACTCCACACAACCTACTGTTACAGTGCATTCAGGTTCTGTAAAGGAAACTGTAAGGATCGACTTGTCTTCGTCATTCAAGCTTTAGTTTTAGTGCTTAGCCTGAGTATGCAGAATGGTGCCTCGTAGCTACAAATTTTGCGTCCATATTTCCCAATCGTTTGCATGCATCTTAAGTTGCTTGTGGATCTTGCGTTTCAAATTGGAATTTGTCCAATTTGCATTTATCCACTCATCAAACTTCAGAACAGTCCTCCCCAAACCTACAGCCATGGAAAATTAAATCAGGACAAACCAGCTAACAACAAATATAAGGATTGGATTACCAGGGGTTTTTGAGGACCGAGATAGTGAGGTGGACAGTGTTGGTATATGTGGATATTTCCAGGGTGGGAACTGTTCAGGATTTTAACAATGATGCACTGTTCCTTACAGGTATGTCTACAAGCTCTGCCCGTTCAGTAAAGTGGCACAGAAACCCAAACACGGAGGTTCAGAAACCAGTCTTGGGTAAGATAATAATGGATTTGTAGGGCGTACGTCCTGTAACCTGTTTTATTTTCAAAATTAGTTCATCATCTGTGCTGTTTCCATGTCTTCACTTCAAGTTGTGGGAATTAGGTGGGTTAACATGAGTAAACATTTGAACATTGGTTTCTCTGAATGACTTGTTGTTCAGGTTTCGTTGACTGATGCACTGCTGCCCAAAATGGAGAGGAAAAGCAGCTATGTTGTGTTAAGACACTGAACATTGTGTTTTGGTTTGGTGTGCGATAGCCTGTCCCCAGTGGAGGCAGCCTGTCTTAAGTGGCCTGGGTATCTGCATGCCAGCAGATCAGAGGGCACCCTGTACACTGGTTACATTGTAAGGCATTGTGCAATGTATTAATTGTGTTATGTAGGACTTGCTCTGTAGTCTGTCATCCTCATAGAATCCCTACAGAGTGGAAGCTGGCCATTTGGCACTCCAAAGAGCATCCCACCCAGGCCTATTCCCCAACCCCATCCCTGTAACCTTGGCTAATCCACCTAGCCTGCATCTCTCTGGACACTACGGGCAATTTAGCCTGGCCAGTCCACCCTAACCTGCACATCTTTGGACTGCGAGGAGAACGGAGCATCCAGAGGAAACCCAAGCAGATACGGAGAGAACATGCAAACTCCACACAGACAGTTGGCCGAGGGTGGAATTGAACCCAGGTCCTTGGCGCTGTGAGGAAGCAGTGCTAACCACTGAGCCACCGTGCTGCCCCATCCTGTGTAAAGGAAACTATATGAAAATGCTTGAAACTTTGGCTCATGTTCATGCAGTATCTGTGGAATGAGAAGTTGTGTTAACGTTTCAGATCAATAGTATTCATCAGAGTTAGAGATGAGCAACTTTGAAACAATACGGTTTGAGGCAAGTTGATGGGGGGAAAAGGAACAATATAAGGCAGGTTTATATAACAGGCTGCCTAACAAAGGGGTCTTGTGTGTTCCCCCAAAGGCAGTTCTGTCCGTCCAGCCAAAGGAGGTCCTGCCCATCTGGTCAGACCAATGTTCAAAGTACAGTTAGGCATAAGTGGACGATTTTGAAAGGATTTGCTCAACCAATCTGAGACCATTCCCTCCCATGTTTCCTGGTCACTGATGAGTGAGGGTGGATCCCGCAGCCTTCCCCTTTCCCCTTTCCCCTAATCCCTAACTGACAGAAACATTAAAATATTCTCCTCGCAACCCCAGCCCAATGTGTAAATGTTGGATAAAGTCCATTGTGGGGGAAATGGCCTGTGATCAGCTGAGTGCTGGAGCAATTAGCTGACAAAAGGAGTGAAGGTGAAAGGCCAAAATGGGCGATCATGGAGCAGGCAGAAATGTAAATGACCGCAGTAAATGGCAAGAGGAAGGGGAAGCCGTGACAAAGACTTGTCTCCCTGACGATGTAGTGGTAGCCCCTGAGTGTGCAGATAAGCTGGGCTGGCTGTAGTGTGCCTGGAAACTGAGTGTGGACCAGGGAGGGACTGAAAACAAAATTCATTTCAACTTGTGTGAATCTTTTAAATCCATTCATGTCACTGATTAGACCAGCATTTATTATTTATCCCTAATTGCCCTGGAGAAGCTGCTGGTGAGCTGCCATCTTGAACTGGGAAACCTGCAGTGCTGTTTGGGGTTGTGGGGTGGAGGTCCAGGATTTTGACCCAGTGACAGTGAAGGAACGGCGATTATATTTCCAAGTCAGGATGGAGGTGCTGGTGTCCCCATGCCTTTGCCCTTGTCCTTCCTTACGATAGAGGTCACGGATATAGAGAGTGCTGTGGAAGGAACCTGAGTGAGTTACAGCAGTGCAACTTGTATATGGTATGCTTTGCTGCCACCATGCAAATTTGTGTGCATTGTTGTGTTTGCTGTTCTGGGGATATGCAGTGAGTAACGTTTGCCAGCTAAGGTGCCTAAAAGGGAAATGCTTCAATTTTGACCTTGAAAGCCTGTATTTTGGGGCAGGAGGAGGGACTATGTTTTATTTGATTTTTTTGTAGTCACATGTACCCAAGTACAGTGAAAAACATTGTTTTGCAAGCAGTACTGGCAGATCAAAGCAAACAAGGACATACAGATAATAGGGTGCTTAGACACAGCGAGGCATACAGATTACACTGCACAGGAGGTGCACAAAGCAAGATCAACATTATCAAGATCACATTTGTAGTTAGAGAGTCCATTCGTCTGTCTAATAACAGCAGGGAAGAAGTTGTTCTTGAATTGGCAAGTACCTGGAGCCCTCATGTTCACCCATCCTCTTTTCTATCTCCGCTCTATCTGCTGTGTCTTTAAAATGTTTTATTTTCAATGTTATTTTTGGTGAGGTACGGTAAAAGTGAATCATCGGTATTTTTGAGTACTCGGCCATATTTGATAAAATAAAAATGCCCTGACATTTAAATGTCCAGGGTATCTCAAAATTGCTTTGAAGATTGTGTTAAATATTTAGTAACTTTCTCTCATAATCATTTCTGAATTGTAGCATCATTAAAACTGATTTCTTCCTGCTTCTGTTGACTTGTGTAGAATAGTTTCCAAAACCCATAATAGAATTTATTATCTCTCGATCTGTTTACAAAGAGAATCTTTGGATATTTTGAGCGCAGCATCTTTACATGGAACACGTGATGAAATCGATGCTGAATATAAACTGGGATTGCTACAGGAGGGAATGCCTAGTATAGTGCACTTAATGTGCTAGTGATGTAGCTGTCATCTTAAATGCTATCTTTAAAATCAAAGAGGGAGACAGAAGCACCAAAAATAGGCTGGAATTGTCTCAATTGTCCAAGATTAATACAAAGACAAAAGCTCTGCCACCTATTGTGACCCATCCCCTTTAATGGAACTAAAGAACAGCTGCTGAAATTTAGAAGTAGGAAAATTAATAATAATACAATGCATCAGTTGAGATCTACCTCGAAGGAGGAGGCTGTTCAATCCATCATGTCACTACTGGCTCGTTCCTAAAGTAATCCCAAACAAGCTCGTGGCCACCTCTCTTTTTGCATCATTCTTTGCTTTATTTAACGCTTCACATTGAGAGCCTTCACCAGAACACCTGCCCTGTCTTCGGTCTGTGCTCTATCTGCTGTGTCTTTCCGATGTTTACTTTCTCAATGTTATTTTTCTGCAGTCGGTTCAGGGAGATTTAGGCTCCGAGCTGCAATTCCTGCCCTTCCATCGTGAAGCCCAATTATTCACAGGGTCAGACCTTCTGAGGGCAGTGTTCCCCTAAATTTTTTAATGTCTTGACCCCATTTAAGTGCCAAGACCTGTTGGAGCAAAGTGGGGTGGAGATATGAAGAGAATTGCTTGCATCGAATGTATTGCCTTTTTGGAATGATTTGTAACGTTTTTCTGTCTGTGCATGCAGTGTATGGGGCTCGTGGGCTGGACCTGAAAGTAACAAGTTCAGTGCGATGAAGTATGAGCATGGTACTGGCTGTTGGCAGGGGCCCAGTAGGACCACCTTGGTAAGTACACTTGGGGGTTTGTAACAAGGTGGGGGCTAGTTTGTGTAACAAAGTTGGGGGGGATGGTAGTTTGTCTCTGTAACGAGGTGGGGTGGTAGTTTGTCTCTGTAATGAAGCGGGGGTAGTAGTTTGTCTATGCATGAGATGCTGTGGTTTCATTGCAAATTAGTCGGGTGTCATTATGGCTCAGTCAGGAGAACTGGTCTCTGAGGTGGAAGTACACGTACCTTGCCAGGACCTGATCCAGGTTACAGCCTCAGTATAGTGAGAAAGGGTATGACCCTTGATTAAGGTGCTATCTTGTCGGATGTTAAACCAAAATTCTGCATGTTTTAAGATAGCCTAAAGGATGTAGAATCAAAAATGATACCATAGGCAAATGCGATACAGTACAGCACAGGAACCACCCTTCGGCCTGCCAAGCCTGCACCAATTCCTAATCCTTATTTAGACCTAGTGCTTATTGCCCGTACGGGGTTTCTGTCCCTCTGTTTGCCTCCTGTTCATGTGTCTGTCAAGATAATGCCTTAAACGTTGCTAATGTGCCTGCTTCACATGTTGATGTGTGCTATATATCACTGAGTCTGAGTTAGTTTAGCAGCGTGCAGCTTTTACGTCTTGTGTTCTGGAGCTATAGTAATGGTGGAAGTGTCAACGTTCTACCGTCTCTCCTGCTCTCAGCACCTGACATTGGAGTGTGTTGGAAGGGTTTGCAGGTCGATAGTCGACACGCTTTTCCATGTTATGGTCACTCCTTCCTTTGGTTGACATTGGGTTTGAATCTGAAGCTGCTGGCTCAGATGCCTAGTGCTCCTCACACGAAATAGTTGAAGCGAATGATACAAATGCATTTAAAGGGGAAATTAGATAAGTACATGAGGGATAGAAGGGTGTCCCAATGGATTTAGACAAAGGAGGTTGGCAGTTTGTGTGACACATAAACTGGTGTGGATCAAAGGCCATTCGGCCCATGTTTTTGTTTTTGATGGGACTGGATAAAGAGTAATGAAGTCCATGGCTGACATTACCTCCTCAATCATTCATTGGTATTTGTGATGTCTTGCTGAGTGTAAATTAGCTGTGGCAGTGCACAACTCATTTGGTAAGTGATTGAAGTATCATCTGCTATTATGTGCTTGAGGACTGGGCTTGACCCCATTTGTGACCTTTGACCCCAGAGGTCAGAGTGCTGCCACCGAGGCCAGTTGTCTCCCAACAGGGAAAACGATGCCTGCACCCCGCACTGTTTACCCTTTCTCTCAGAACGCTCCCTGTTATGTTGTTTCAATTGCTGACAGGTGAAGCTGTCCTGTGGCAAAGAGACTGATGTGCTGTCCACTTCAGAGCCTAGCCGCTGTGAATACCTGATGGAGTTTTCGACGCCAGCCCTTTGCCAGGAGGAGATGAATGGGGAAGGAACAGATCATGACGAATTGTGAGAATTGGGCGAGTGGGCTTAACAGGTGAGCCAAGCTCCCCAAACACCAGTATTGACTTTGACTTTGATTTGTATCCGTCCTTGAGCCAGTGAACTTATTCCTTCCTATTACTATCATTGGGTGCCTGATGGAGCAGGTCAGCGACCAAGCTTTTACCAGGCCAGATCATCACCTTAAATGATGGGTGGCAAGGGAATCAGTGGGAATGTACGGGGGAAAATGAGTGCTGTGATGTTGTTATTTAAGAAAAATGTACATTACTGTATTTAGAACTGTGAAGCACACTAAAGATATGCACTACCCACCATGTACTTGGAAGCAAAGCCTGATACTGACAGGACACTACCACAGCAAATACCACAGATGTTGGAAATCTGAAATAAAAGCTCACTTGAGTTGTATTGGACTTG